AGAGCAAAGCACCTCACGCCCAGTCCGGCTAGAAGAGCTCACAGTCTGCGTCAGTGGGAAACTAAATGTGAATCGCCCAAGAATAAACGACCCGGCAAAGCGGCACCCGCTAACGGCGGCCCCCTCGGGCACCAAGGCCCTGCCTTTACACGAGAGGGGCGGCTAGGCTCGGGGTCACTCGGGGGCCGGGGGGCTGCCCTGCCAGGCTCGGAGGGTCTCGGGAGGCTCAGCCGCTCTTTCTCCAAACAAACGTGGCAGCCCCAAGCCACAAAGGCCCTCACTCTTCTGACATTATGATGTCACACTGAGCAGTTCTTCAGAATCATTCACTGAGGGAGGTCCGGGCTCAGGTATCCCCCTTCCAGGCGCTGTTATCATGCCCATGGCATCGATGTGGAAACCCAGGCTGAGTGAGGTTAAGGGTCACAGAGCCGGAACGTGCTGGCGGCAGGATCTGAGCTAGGGTCTTCCCGACCAAGCCCAGCGTCCCTGCTCCTCCACCTAGCTGCTGGTTACGGCTCAAGGTAGGCACGTAACCGAGTCACCAAAGACACATGGCGCCCAGTCTGGGGAAGCCCAAATTAATGAAGAGGAGGGGCAGCCGGGGAAGACAAAAGGCAGGCGGAGCTGCTGTCCTGGGAGCTGTGGGAAGAGGAGGATGGGATGGGGAGTGAGGATGTGATGCCCGACTTAAGTGTGTGAGAGGCTCTCAAGCGCAAGGGGGCAGAACCGGAGCTAGCGGCCCGTCTGGGAACCCTGCCTAGTGACTGCAAACCCTCCACAGAGGTCTTCAGGAGATACTCCCAAATCTAGTTAGACCTCCCCAGAGGTTAAGTGACTCCTTCAGGGCCACATAGCTAGTAGGTGACTGAGGCTGAGGTCTGACTCAGCTAAGTTTTAGTTGCTTTAGTTTGATGAATATGACGAATGTCCTTTATGATGGAATATTCAATAAACGGTCACCTTTAAATAACCGAATGCCCTGGGGGCTTACCCTAACGAAATAATACATCCCCAGGAGGGTAGATGAGCCCCAAAAATAATAACAAGGGGACAAAGGGAGGGCCATGATTTAAGCCAGTGTGGAGATGGTCGGTCCTTCCAGATGCCACTCAGGAGTTTTCCTCAGTCACATACGACTGCAGCTGCAAGTTCCCTGATGAACTTCTAATGCGCTTGTCGGTATCACATGCACAAGCGACACACAGGGCTGGCCGCGTCTCCGCGTCCTCAGCCTGCGGTACAAGGCCAAGGCGGGCTTCTTCCTTCCCGATCCTCCCGGATCTCTTCTGAGACTCTCACCCCTCCCTGCTGCCCTGCCAGAAATCACCGCCTCCTGGTTCTCCTCCTCCCCTCGTTCTGTCCCGGGCCCTTCTCCTCTTCTGCCTCTCGGTGCTCTCATTCAACAACCAGCCGGCAAAACACTCTGTGCGCCAGGCACTTGCCGCGCTAAGTGCCGGGGATGCGAGGAAAAGCCAGGGCAGGGTCTCCTGCCCTCGAGGAGGGGCCACATTAACCCCTAGGCTGGTACGTGGAAAGGCACTCTGAGGAGGAAAGGAAGGGGCTGGTGGGATGGGGAAGGCCGGGGACACTGAAAGGGGCAGGCAAAGCCGGAGACGGCCCCTCTCCGGAATGCCTCCCCTTCCCCTCCCCACCAGAGGGGGCGCGCGCTCCATGCGCCTCTCCATGGGCGGAAGAGGTGTGGCCTGCCGCGTTGACCCGCCTGCGAGGGGAGGGGCAGGCTCAGAGGCTGTTCTTCCCTCCCTGCAGGCCCCGCCCCCCCGTTCGCTCGCTCCCGCCCCGCACCTCTCGCCCGGCGGGATGATGGCGAAGCCGCGGCGTTCTTCTATGTGGTGCTGGTTCACCGCCATCTTCGCCCTTCCGGGGCGGGCCGCCCCTGGCCGGGGACTGGGGAGAGAAGGGGAAAGGAGGAAGGGAGAGGGGAGAGGGGAGGGGAGAGGAAAGGGGGGAGGGGGGGCGGAGTCTGCTCCGCGAGGGGCAGGGTTCCCGGGGCCGGAGAGATTATGGCGCAGGCGCGGGGAGAGAGCGAGAAAGCGATAGGGTGAGGCTGCTCCGTCACGTGGGTCTTCTAGGCGGAGCCTGATCCGGACACGCCCCCCCCCTGGGTGGGGAAAGGGACGGGCCGAGAGAGACAATGCAAATGATGGGGAGGGAGGGAGAGCGAGCCGCCGGGCCGTTGGCCTCCGAATCCGACCTTTCCTGGGCCCCGCCCCTCGTTGTTTGTGCGAGATAAAGGTTTAACCTAAGGGCCGGTTAACTGTCGAGTCGTGGGTTCGAATTCAGCCTCTGGCTGTGTGACCTTGGAAAAACCCTGCAACCTCTCAGGACTCCAGAGTCCTTATCTGTAAAATGGGTCTAATAATACCTTTCCTACTCCCCCTCAATGATAGGGCCTTCTCTCTGAGACTGTCCTGTTTATCCTGTACAAAGGTACAAATTGGTTCTCTCCCCCATTAGACTGTGAACTCCATGAGGGCAGGGACTACCACAATGCCTGGCACACAGTAGGCTCATAATGCATGCTTATTCCCTTCTCAGCCCACCCCCTCCTTTCCAGAGGGTTGGGGTAAGGTGGCCTTGGATTCAAAAAGCTCTGGGTTCAAATCCCAGCTCAGACACTTTGTAGCTCAGTAATCCCTTGAAGTTCCTTCACCTCATTGCCTCAGTTTCCTCCTCTGTAAAATGAAGGGATTGAATTCGATGGCCTCAGGTCTCTTCTAGCTCCAGATCTGTGGCTTTATGATAGGATAAAGAGCTATGGTAATTAGAGCACTGGGCCTGAAGGCCTCAAGACCCAAGTTCAAGTCCACACACTCACTAGCTGAGTGGCTCTGGGCAAGTCACTTCACCCCTGCCTGACTCCAATTCAACAGCTGTAAAGTGAGGGATCCTAGCATCTTCTTCCCAGGGGTGTGGTGAGGATCAGATGAGATCATATTGGTAAAGCACCTGGTACACAATCGGTGTCACATAAATGCTTGTTACGATTAAAACATCTCTATACAGATTAGCTATTATTAAAATATGTAAAATGCTTGGCTCAATTTGCATTTAATTTTCTATGTTTGTGTTGGGTCATTCCCTCCTCTCTCTCTGTCTCTCTTTCTCTCATCCAGAAGCAGCTTGGACAGTAGATTAATATAAAATTAAATTGTGAGATTTGTGCCTAGAAAGTGGTGTATGGTATTAATCTTTCCTTTTCAACAAGAAGTGCATAAAGACTTGCCTTTGGGAAGAGAAATGAAAATTCACAAGGGAGGCCTTGATTAGAGGTGGTGGTTCTGAAAATGATCTGGGAGTTCCAGTGGACCCCAGGTGCCTTTGGGGTCAGCAGCAGTTGTGAATTGGCAGCCAGAAGAGCTGATGTGGGGCTGCATGATGAGGGTTTAAGTTGGAGGAAGAGGGAGGTGAGAGTGTCCCCGTCCATCCTCTACCCTCAGAGAACCTCATCGTGAATGCTGGGCGTGATTCTGGGCACTGTGGTTGGGGAGTGTCCAGAGGAGGATGACCAGGCTGGCTTGAGACCTGGAGTCTGTAGGCACCATTTAGGGGTTGGTCAGAGGAGCTGGCGATGCTTACTGTGGACGAGAGACATGGGGGGGGGCACGTGACAATCCCTGGCTTGGCCCTGAGAGCGGAAGCGGGAACAAGCTGAAAAGAAGCAGATTTAGGCTTCATGTTAGGGCTTTGAGCTGTCCCAGTTTGGAAAGGTGTCCTTCGAGGTGGTGGACCCCTCCTTCGGGGTCTCCAGGCAAGATTTGTAGGGGAGGGGTCAGATGAGGCAGTCCTTAAGTCTCCTCCAGCTCTCCAGTTCTCTCCTGGGAAGTGACTTGCCCAAGGTGCGCAAGTGGTCAGTGGCAGCGTCTGATTGTCTTGGACTCCAGGTCCAAGGCTTTTCCCACTGCACCAGGCTGTAGGAGCTGCCATCTTACCAGGGAGGCCCAGACTCAAGGCAAAGGCAGAGCTGGTGCTCACGGCCTTTGCCTCACTCCAGCACAGCCCGGACTATGGACCTATAGGACCCTGCCCTGCTCCATCCAAGGTCAACACAGGCATTTCATGTCTGTCTAGCACCAAGGACAGAGCCATCATCTGCCCTTCTGCCACCGGCCAGTTCTGATCCAAGAACTGTGTCTCAAAGCTGCTCACCCTTTTATCGGCCAGGGCCAAGGACCCTTCTTATGGACCAGGCTCTGGGGATGCCAACATGGGCCCCTTTTCAAGGATCTTACAGTCTAATACAAAGACGGTTGCCCAGGCTGTCCTCCACACCTTTGACTCTCAGGGTGCCTGGGCTTCGTTCAGGGCTTAGCTGACCTGGCCCCTTTGCCTGTCACTGCTAGCCCTCCCCCAGTACTTTGTGCTCACTTCTCTGGGCCAGTACAGGGCTCCTGGACCCTGCTGGCGGTCTGGTGAAGCCTATGGAGCCTTCGTGGAGTGAGAAGATGACAAAGAAAACCAATCATTATCAAACTATCTTGGAAAAGCCAAGGTCACAGATCCTCACTCAGCACAGTGGGGGGCAGGGCTTACCAAGCTCACCCTCAGGACTAACAGGAGAGATGCTTAATGAGTGCTTATTGAGTTGGGGGGGGGGAATGAAGAGCAGTCCTCGCCCTCAGGGGTGTGGAGCCTGTAGGGGAGGCCTTGAATCAGTGTCTGTGGAAAGGGGCTTACTTGCAGTGGATTTAAATGGCCCTTTCATGGATTTCTCTGCAAAAACAAGGGCAGGTCAAACATTAGTAATTCCAGTGCCTCTTGCTGAGGCATCTTGCCCCAGGTATGGGGACTGTTGGGGCAAGGCTCAGAAAACACCCAGAGAAGGGGGATTCTGGGTCAAATCTGATGCCAGGTGTAGACAGGCTCTGGGAGGGTTACACCATGAAGAAGCCCTGGATCTCTGGCAAACCCAGCAGAGGTGAGGGGAGTGTGCAGCCCGGGGCCACGGGCAGAGGCGATGAAAGAACAAGCCAGGCCACTCTTGTTCAAACAGCAAAGTCTTGTTGAATTAAACAATACATAGAAAGTTAAAGTCTACACCCGGTGTGTGTTCGGTGGCTTGTCTTGGCTCAGGGCTGGTGCCCGTGGAAGGAGATTCTTCTCTCCCGTCACCGCCAGGTGGCCAAGACAGGGGACAGCCGGAAGGGGGCCTGGGCTCAGGCCTCTGTCTGGGTCCCCAGTGTTCAGCGGTCCGGGCCGTGCCCAGCTGCAGACCCAGTATGGACGGCAGTGTCAGCCAACATTCACACACAACATTCATGCATCGGGCCTCAGACTGCTATAGGCCTGCGGCCCATCTGCGGCCAAGCAGATTCATTACTCACATTAACAGGGGCTCAGGGTGCGGCAAAAAGGGATGGACAGATGACATCTCCTCTTATTGCTAAGGGACGGAGATGGGGCTGGGGAAAGCTTTATCTTAGACTTCACATCTCACGGGCTTCCTAAACTTTTTTTTTTTGAGTTAAGGATAAAGAGAAAAATCAACTTCAGAAATGCCCTTTCGGGTCACTCATCTCCTCCTGGACTTCTCATCATGGGAGGGAGGATGGGGAGGGGGAGGGTGTTCACACACTCTGGGCCAGCCAAGCCTGACATACCTTCCAGCCCCGTGATGACCAAGGTGGGTGAGGTCTCGGTTGTTCCGCGCCCCCCCCCCCATGCTGGGGCTCACACCTGGATGTGACAAGCCAGAAGTGATGCTCTCCTGGCTCACGGGGTCCAGAAGAGCAGCCCATGAAGCCTGGGGGAGGAGGGGGCTTTGGTGCCATTTCCCCTAGAGGAGATGATGAGTGGTTGGCTATGGGTTTGCAGAAGCTGGAGAGGGAGCAGGTGAGGGTGTTGGCCCAGGACAGGTGGCTAGACCAAGAGCTAGGTCACCAGAGGGACCTTCGCGGGGAGGCAGGATGGTGCTCACCCCCCTTCTCCCTCTCGCTGTGGGCAGAGCGTGTCAGGCGGACAGCTGGCTGGACGAGCAGAACACTAAAGAGACCTTGTCCCGGAAGGGTGAGCAGCTGGGGTGGGGGGACAGTAGGGGGAGGAGGAGCAGCCTGGAAATGACCTTCACTCGGAGGTGGTGGCGGGGCAGGGGGATGCTGGCGCTGGTGGAAGGACACCTTCTCCCTGCAGGGGGGAGGAGAGTAGGTGAGGGCCTGCGGAGTGCCCGCCTCCCTTCCCCCCATCGCTGTTGCCCCCCTCACCCAGCCCCAGCTCTCCTTCACTCTAGAGCTGGGGCCTGAGGCCTGAGGTCTGGTCACTATCAGCACCAGGGATGCAGCCCTGTCCAGGCTGAGGCCCGGCTGCTCCTTTCTCTTGGCAGGAGCTTACCTGCAAGGGGGGTCTCTGGCCAGAGACCCAAGGGGAGAGGGCGAATGGGCAGCGGGGCCAGACACCCTAGGCTCTGCGTCCCACTGCTCTGGCCCGCTTCCCACTGACCTGCTCACTCTAGCGTCTCCGGGCTTTATTTTTCCAAGCCCTTGAAGGAGGTGAGATTTGATGGAGGAGGTGCCTATGGAATGGACCAGGAGAAAGAGGTCACAAATACCACTGGCCTCTCTCCTGTGGCTCCTTCGTGGTCTTGCTGCATCCCCAGCCCCAGGAGCCTCAGGGGCCCAAGGGCAGAAGAGGGACCTCCCTGGGCAGCCCAAGGGACAGGGACAGGCAGAAGCCTGGGCCAGGGCCCAGAAGGACCAGGCAGGCAGGAGGGGGGTGGAAGAGACAGAACGAGAGAGGAGAGAGAGAAGGGAGCCCTCAGTCTGCCCTCCGGCTTGGGCTAGGGTTCAGGTAGCGTTTCCTTGCCCCAGCCCTGGCAGGGAGGCCCAGAGGAGGGTACTGTACCCACTGTCCAGAGCAGGAGCCTGAGGCACAGAGAGGGTCACCCAGCTGTCAGAACCTGGACTTTACCTTGGTCTCCTGAATTCTAAGTCCAGAATGCTCTGTGTTATACATGGCTGGCTCCCTACCATGCAGACAGTGTGGAGGAGAAGGCAGTACTGGTGAAGAGGCGAAAGGGCGACAGGATGGCAAGAAGGATGGAGGGGGGGAGGAGAAAGAAGGAAGGAGAGAGGGAGGGAGAGAAGGAGAAAGGGAAAGAAGGGAGAGGAGAGAGAGAGGGAGGGAAAGAAGAGGGAGGGAGGAAAGAAAGAGGGAGAGAAAGAGAAAGGGAGAAAGAGAGAGGGAGAGAGGAGAGGGGAGAGAGAGAGAGAGAGAGAGAGAGAGGGAAGGAGGAGAGAGGAAAGGAGAGAAAGAGGGAGAAAGAGTGGGAGGGAAAGAGAAGAGGAAAGGAGAAAGAAGGAGGGAGACAAAGAGGGAGAGGGAGGGAAGAGGACAGAAATAGAGAAACAGAAGAGAAAACAAGGAAGGAGAGAGGGAGGGAGGGGAGAGAGAGAGAGAGAGAGAGAGAGAGAGAGAGAGAGAGAGAGAGAGAGAGGAGAGAGGAGGGAAAGAAGAGGGAGGGAGGAAAGAAGAGGGAGAGAAAGAGAAAGGGAGAAAGAGAGAGGGAGAGAGGAGAGGGAGAGAGAGAGAGAGAGAGAGAGAGGGAAGGAGGAGAGAGGAAAGGAGAGAAAGAGGGAGAAAGAGTGGAGGGAAAGAGAAGAGGAAAGGAGAAAGAAGGAGGGAGACAAAGAGGGAGAGGGAGGGAAGAGGACAGAAATAGAGAAACAGAAGAGAAAACAAGGAAGGAGAGAGGGAGGGAGGGAGGGAGAGAGAGAGAGAGAGAGAGAGAAGAGAGAGAGAGAGAGAGAGAGAGAGAGAGAGAGGGAGGGAAAGAAGAGGGAGGGAGGAAAGAAAGAGGGAGAGAAAGAGAAAGGGAGAAAGAGAGAGGGAGAGAGGAGAGGGGGAGAGAGAGAGAGAGAGAGAGAGAGGGAAGGAGGAGAGAGGAAAGGAGAAAGAAGGAGGGAGACAAAGAGGGAGAGGGAGGGAAGAGGACAGAAATAGAGAAACAGAAGAGAAAACAAGGAAGGAGAGAGGGAGGGAGGGAGGGAGAGAGAGAGAGAGAGAGAGAGAGAGAGAGAGAGAGAGAGAGAGAGAGAGAGAGAGAGAGGAGCAGGAAAGGGCAAGAGGCCAGAGGAGGAGGTGAGCAGGCACTGGCCGGCGGGGGAAGCAGCAGGCAGCTTCGTGACAGATGGCGGCTGATGGACCGTGGACAGGACACAGGCTCTGGTGGTGGTGGCGTTCTCTTCCCGCCCTCCCTAGATGCCGACTTCTTGCCCGGGGCCTCACAGGCCGGAAGCTCTCCCTGCTGGTGCTGTTGCCTCCCGTCTGGCCCCTGCCCACATCCCCAACCGCCCCCCACAGACCAGCGCTGGGGCCTGTCCTCGGAGGTCTTTCTTTGGCCCCAGCACAGGCGTCTGAGCGGCTTGGTTGGATCTAAGGGGGCCTCGCCAGACTTGGCAGGGAAGGCCTGAAGCTTAGGACCAAGAGCAGGGCCAGGGAGGGAGAAGAGCCTTCTAGGGAGGGAGGGCAGAAAACGCCCCACCCCTGCACGGAATGAGACAGACGATGCTCCACAAACACCGGGCCCGGGCCTGTGGGCCCAAGGGACCGACAAAGGCTGTGGGGGCGCCGCTGGATGATAGGGGAGGAGGGGGAGGGCAGGTCACAGGTCACTGTCCCGCGTGGCCATCGTGGCCGCGCTCACCGGGGCAGGCCGCCGTTGTCATTGAGCCGCCGGGCCCGGTAGGTCTCGTAGTGGATGTTGTGGGTGACTTCCTTAAGGTCCTGGAGGTGGGTCCTGAACAAGCGGGAGAGGGGAAAGCAAAGCAGTCGGCTTCCAATGGTGGGCCGACCAAAGGGGACGCACTCACAGGCCCCGAAGGCCGGCCAAAGACTTGCCCCGCTGTGGGCCGGGGCTGGGAGCGGGGCCCGAGGCAGATACTGCCCGCCTGGTGCCATCTAACAAGTGGCCACCCGGCAGACCCCTGAGGCCCCCCAGCTCCACCTCCACCCCAACCCTGACTTCTCTGGGCCTCAGTTTCCTCTTCTGTAAAATGAGGGGTGGTCAGACCAGAAGGCCTCTGGGTCCCTTCCAGCCCTAGACCTAGGGTCCTAGCAGGGAAAGGAAGCTAACGTGGCCAGGCACTGTGCTAAGTGCTTTACAGACATGATCTCAGCTGGTCCGCAGAGCCCTGCTGAGTAGGAGAGGCGTGGTGAGTGACTTGCCCAAGGGCACCCCGCCAGGAATCTCAGGGGGCCTGCCTGTGGGGCTGGTGCTCTGTGCCCTGTGCCACCCAGCTGGCCCGCTGTGATGTTTCTGCTGCGCCGTGGGTGAAGGGGAGGAGAAGGAGGGAGGCTTCCCCAAGGGCAGGCAGCAGCCCGCTGGCATTGAGGGCCCAGGTGGAAGAGAAACACAAATCCATCCACGGGCACTAAGAAGCTGTGGGACCCTGTACAAGTCACTTCACCGCCGCCTGCCTGCGTTCCCTTGACTGTAAAAGGGGGAGCATGACTGCATCTACCTCCCAGATGGCAGCAGTGCCCAGTGCCTCCTAGGCACCTAAGAAATGCTTGTTCCCAATCCCCTTGTGAGCGTCCGGTCACAGTCACTGCTGTCACCGGCAAGGGGAGGCCCTTGGCCTCAGGGAGGCAGGCAGCCGGTATCAGCCAGGCTCTTACCAACCTCTCTGGGGACTCTCCATCTCCAGGCGAGTCTTGGCCATTCAACAGAAGGCTCTCTGGATGGAGAGGGCCTGCTCTCTGGGATGCCTTCCAACCAGAGGAATTGGGAGAGGAGAGGGCTGAGGCCAGGAAGTCCTGGAGGTGGGCTTCAGGGGCCCCTCCTGACTAAACTGGGTCCATACTACAGGGAGGGCCTTACCTGATAACAAAGTCTCTGAGCAAGGCAAACTCACAATGGGTGAGGTTTTCCACTGAAAATCCAAAAGAGACAAGTTACTTTATGCTAGTACTGAGCAGTCATAGGGCGGCTCTAGGGACTTCTTAAAAGCACATTACTGTACAACAACCCACTCATGAGCTAGATGGCAATCAGAGGCCTACAGAACACAAATTTAGTCATTCATTAATTCACTCATTCATTCATCAGCCCATTGTTTGCTAAGCTGACAATGGATTTAGTGCCAGGGATGGAAAAGAAAGAAGCAGATTTTAAGCTATAGATCCTGCCCTCGGGGAGCTTAGCACAGGAATGAGGATACGGTCCCCACCCTCCTCCCTTAGGAAAGGAGATGTCCCAGGAAGTAGATATCCAAAGCCTGGGGTGAGCTCTAGTTCCCAGAAGTGAAGGAATGGGCAAGGAAGTCTTCACAAGGCTGACAAGAACTCCCAGTATCCCAGAATCTCTCAGCAAGATGAGACTCTGAGATCATCTGGTCAGTCAGCAGGCCCTGTACAAAGAAAGGCCAATGACAGTCCTTACACTCAGAGTAATGGGGAGATAACAAACTTGGTGCCTGGAACAGGACCCCCCCTTTATATGAAATTCCTGACAAGTGAGTGGTCATCCAGCTTGGAGACTCCCACTAATGGGGTACTCACTACCTCCCATGGCACCATTCCACCCTTGGTTAGTTTAACAGTGAGGCGTGGAGCTCACATCTGCTCCCCACATCCCCCATCCACTGCTTCCTGTTCTGCCTACTGGGGCCAAGCAGAACTCAGCTAGGCCCTCCTTACGTGACACCTGCTGTCAGCCAGGTTCTGAAACCGACTGTTTCAGCCAAATACACTTTACCCAACCTGACCAAAGTGGTTAGTGCTATTCGCCTGGAGGTACCAGCCCGGCTGTGTCTAGGACCCTTTCACTTGTATCCTTCCCACTGAGAAGCACCGCTGACTCCCTTCACTAATGCCATGAGTCAGCAGGGAAAGGTGAGATTCACCCAAGGGCAGCGTTGTTTCAGGACCCCTAGAAAAACAGACATTTCCTGACAATTCAGGGGGTCCATTGTGAATCTGCATTTTTGTCAGGTTAAATATAATCTGCCCTATAGCTTATGTCTCATTAGCCTGAGTGCTTGCGGGGGAATCTTTTGAGGGGAAACAAAGTGAGTCAGATACTGGTGTTTCTCTGGGTGGAAGTTTGAACCAGAGATTTTTCACTTCTGAGAGAAACAAGCCAGATACTAACATTCCAATTAGCTAATGCTGATGGCAATTAGCCTGAGAGGTCTTGAGAGAGACCCTCCAAAATTAAACCCAGGTCTATTATGGCGAGGCCTAGGACCCAACTGACACATGGGTTATTTCTTGGATAGGAGCTATCTGATCTTCAGAAAACTACTTTCCCTTTTGAGCTTCAATTTCCTTATCTGTAAAATGGGGTAATCATATTTGCACTTCCTCACAAGGCTATTGGGAGGATTGGATGAGTTAATGGATGGGAAAGTTCTTTGCCAACTACTTTGATCTTGGCCAATCAGCAAGCATCTATTGTAGGCCGGTACTTTACAAAGGCAAGGTACCACAGTGACCTCATTGCTTGAGGTGCCATCTAATGATGCCAAATTGAGATTGCAACCCATGGAACAGCACCATCCTTCATCCCTTCACTCCAGGTAGAGAGAATGGATTCAGTTCTCCTCTCTGAAACTTCCATGCACGCCGGTTCCTTCTATCGAAGAACACAGGTTGGGGAAAATCCCTGCTTTTTCTGTATTTTGCCACATAGGCAGTGGCCCAGCCGTCATACCCGGTGGTAGGAGACGTCTCCTCCACCCAAGAATGTGCTCAGGACCTGTGAAAATGACTTGGTCAAGTGAAGAAACATGGGCAGGCCATCCCCTTGTGTTTCAAAAATTGCTTTCAAAGTAGCAGGTGTCTTCAGAATTCCTGCTCCCCCGGATGATTTGGAAATATATATTCCAAGAAAAAATAATAGGTAAGATCCAGCTGTAATTCCCCAGAGGCTCAGAAGTAACAGTGTTGCCCAGTACTTGGGGCAGAAGGAGCCCTGTGGGGCGGGGTCCAGCCAGGTGGCACAGTGGATAGAGCATTAGTCCTGCAGTCAGGAGGACCTGAGTCCAAATCTGACCTCAGACACTTGAGACTTCCTAGCTGTGTGACCCTGAGCAAGTCACTTAACCCCACTGCTTAGCAAAAAAACAAAGGCAACTAGGTGGTGCAGTGGATAGAGTATTGGCCCTGGAGTCAGGAGGGCCTGAGTTCAAATTTGACCTCAGACACATAACATTAACTAGCTGTATGACCCTGGACAAGTCACTTAACCCTATTGCCTAGCCAAAAAATAAAAAGAAAAGAAAAAAAAAAGGAGCCCTGGACATTGGGATGGAGAAGTATGGCTTCCTTCAGGACAGGACAGGAAAAAGCCAGGCCCAAGTCCCCCTGCCAAAGCCCACAGGACTGCCAAGCACCCCCAGGCCCCCAAGTCACTGTCAGCCTCAGAGAGTGCCTTCCCCTCAAAGTCATGGGTAAGAAAACCAAGTCTAGGAAAGGCCCAGTGGTCCAGAGACCCAGAGATGGGTAATGTGTCTCCCTACCTGGACTAAGCCGCAGCCCCAGGGAGAAGTCATCTGCAAGGGAGGGTCTGGGAAAGAAGCACCTGGATGTGTTTCTAGATTCCTTCAGGCCTGAAGCCATGCTGGAAAGGCGGGAAACTGGGCACACACGTGGGCTGTGCCGCAGGCTCTGGGGTGCCATTTTCTCTCCTGCCTCCCCTCTCCCTGGCTGAGCATCTCCAAGGTTGGCAGGAAGAAGCCATTCCCTTCTCTTGTAAGGAATGATTCATTTGGACCCCTCTTCTATTCCAATCAGTGTCAATCGCTTGATATTTTTACATAAATCAGATAGGACAGGTTTTCACAGCAGGCCTCAAACTTTAACATCATACTCACTACTTGTTTACCAGTTGTGAGGCTCATTTATGCAACCCAAGAAAGCTGCTAAAGATATCTCTATCCCGTTTAACTCAAAGTCCACGTCCAAAGCCAGTGTGGCTGGGATGCTCTGATGCTTTGAAACGTCTCCCAGCTTATCTTTGGACCTCCGGACCACCCTCTCTTGTCCAACCATCTTATGACCACTTGGTCACTGGAGATGACACTTGCCTGGCCCATCTTAATTTTAGGCCCTCAGGAGCAAGATCTATCAACCAATGAGGTTCTGGATCTCACCATGCCTCTTTTGCATATTTGGGTAGCAAACCCTACAAAAACAAGGTCCTGGGGACCAGGAGCACCTTGGACCATGAAAGAGCTCTGAGGTCCACTTCATTAGAAGGGACCATGGATCCTTTAATATAGTACCATTGGCTCAGTGCTCTGCCTCAGTTTCTCTTATTGTAGGTTGGACAATTTTAAACTCCACACTCTCCCACAAGGATCATTTGGGTAAAGAAAACCCTGAAAAAAACCCCTTGGGCTCTTTTCTTGTTATCTCTAAGCACTTGACACATAGCCTCCCTGACAAGCAGGGATGCTTGGACTATTTTCTTTTAGAGATGGAGGAACCTGGACACCAAAAAGCTAAATGATTTAACCACTATTTGTCATTCCATCAGCCAATAACAAAGTCAAGATTGGAACTCATGTCCCCTGACACACTTTTGCAACTAGACCCTTGGCCACCCATCCTGCCTCTTAAGGTTCCAGATCTCCTCTGGCTGTTTGGCTAAAAACCAGCTGTGCAAATACAGGAGGGGGAAATGTGGCTAGAGAGCAATTCAGCTGAAAAAGAGCTGTGGGCCCTAGTTGACCATAAGCTCAACATGGGTGTGACATGGCAGCCCTTTGTGTTTAGATCAAGAGATGACAGACAGGTGGCCTTGCTTTCTTCCACCTTGGTTGGGTCATGCCCGGATTAGTGCTAGATTTTGGGAGGGACAACCACGGCCCAGGGGAGAGAGCACAGATGTTAAAGTCAGGAGACCTGGGTTCTACTCCTTATTCTGGTGTTTGCCTATACAGCCTTGCACAAGTCACTTAACCTCGGGAGGCCTCAGTTTCCTCATCTGTAAAATAAGGGGTAGGCTGGACGGCTTCTAACATCCCTGCCCACTTGAGATCTGTCCCTCCCCAGCCCTGGCCTTCCAGGTGACTTTTTCTCTAGTGTGTTTGTCCACGGCCTCTAGACTGGCAGCTCCCTTCATGAAAACCTGCTGACTGACTGGCTGACAGGTGTCATCCCAACCAGAGCTTCAAGCGCTCCTCTGCCTCGTTCATTCATTCATTCGCACGTGCCTTTAGCGCCCACTGTATGCAGAGCCTTTTGCTCGGCACTGGGGGATCACAAAGTTCAGGCCAGACGGTCCATCACGGGAGCCGCGTCTCCTGCACGGCACCCAGCCCAGCACTGGGCACATGGCAGGCGCCCAACGAGAATCAGCGGGAAAGTCAGTGCCTTACCTTCAATGATTCCCCAGGGGGTTTTTCTACCGAGGACTCTCTTGCCATTGACCTGATACTCCTTGTCGCTTCCAACCACGGCGAAGGGCATGCTCTCCTGCTGGAGGGGACACACACAGACACCGCCAGGGGCTTGAGGCCATTCTCCTCCGGCCCCAGGAAGTCTTCCCCTGCACAGTGGACAGGGTCCTGGGTCTGGGGTCCAGGGGTCTGGATTCAAATCCCACAGCTGGGTCAGTAAGTCCCTGGACAAGTCTTGGGCCCTTGTGCGGGCGGGTCTGTCCCTCAGCCTGGGCTCGGTTATCCTGACTCACTTCCCTCTATAGAGCCCAGGTCTCCCCACTCCTACTTCAGCAGGGGTTACTTAATCCAGCTCCCCCATTTTGCAAAAGAGGAAACTGAGGCATAGAGAGGCGACATGACCTGCCCAAGGTCGAGTCGCTTACAGGTGCTGAGTGGCCAAGCTGGCATTGGAACCCAGGACCTGAGACACTAAGTCCACTCCCTATCCCACGCAGTGCCGCAAACATTTTTAAAGCACCTACTGCATGCCACCCTCCACGCTGGGAACAGAGCCAGAATGCCAAGTTGGTCCCCAGCCTCAGGGGGGCCACTCCAGCTTGTCTCGGCCCTCCGCCTCCTACCCTGATCTTGTCATTCTCCGTCTTGTCTTCCAGGTCCTCGTCAAACTCCTTCTGCGGGTAAAACTCGATGCCATTCACCTCGAGCTCCTTCCGGACCTGGGGGTGGGAGAGTCAGCCTGGGGTCAGAGATGCTGAGACCGAGGATCAGAAGGGACCTCTGGGCTTGTCTTTCCTCATTTTACAGAGGAGGAAACCAAGGATCTAAGAGGGGACGGTGCTCATTCATTCAGGCTGGAAGGGACCTCTGAGGTCATCTTGTCTTACTCCCTCATTTTACAGTTGGGAAAACCGAGGCCCAGGCAGGGGAGGTGATTTACCCAAGGTCATCCGAGTAGTTAGGGGCAGAATATGGGTCCCCAATTCTACTCAATGCAACTTGAATATTTATCTTCTGAACATGGAGCTTAGGGCTGGGAATACAGGGACAAAAAGTGACGCGCTCTGCCCTCAGAGAACTCCCAGGTTACAAGGGAGGTCTGATGTGTACAGAGATAAAGATGGCACCAGGAAGAGTGTGCCAGGGATGAACCAGGAGGTGCCTTCTGGCTCTAAAGCCAGACTTCAGGAACGCTGGCGGACAGGCGATCACTCTCATACACTGGTGGGGAGGGGGAGCAAATCAGGGAAGGCTTCTTGTGGGAAGTGGCGGATTTCCACAGGTGGAAATGGGGTGGGAGGGCATGCCTGGTGTGGGAAACAGCCTAGGGAAAAGCAAGGAGACGAGAGGTGAGGGGGAGCATGGGGGGACGGAGAGGTGGGAGCCCAGTGTCCAGGGAACGTGGAACCCCGAAAGGAGAAAGAGGAGGCCGAGCAGAGCGGCTGGCACCCCGACAAGGGGACAAAGGTCAGGGATGAGCTCACCCTCTGTTTGAATTCCATCTTCTCCTCCAAGGTCATGGTGTCGGCTTTGGCGATGATGGGGACGATGTTCACCACTTTGCTGAGATGCTTCATGAACTCCAGATCCAGGGGTCTCAGGCTGGAGAAGGAGCGAGTGAGAGGCCTGTGGTCCGCACCCTCCACCACCCAGCCCGGCCCCCAGGAGAGCCCCTGGGAGGAGACTGAGGCCCGGGGGTGCATGGCTCCAGGTGTCTGAGGCGGTAGAATAATGATAACGATAACAGCCCCTACTACGTGCCTACACTGTGCTGAGCATTCTCCAGTTATCACAGAAGCCCTACAAGGCAGGTGATGCTATCATCCCCATTTTACAGATGAGGAAATTGAGGCAGGCGGAGATGAAGTGCCTTGCCCAGGATCCCATAGCCACTAAGGGTCTGAGGCTGGATTTGAACTCGGGTCTTCCAGGCCCAGCCCCCTCTCTCCTCTACCCTCTAGCAGGCTGGCTGGCTGGCTCTCAGCCCCCTGTGCCCTCGGAGGTATGCCTGCCTCAGCCACATCCAGGGGCTGTGGGGAAACAGCTCAGTCCCTGTTCCAGTGGCCTCCTCCAGGCCATCCTCAGACCAAATGACCGCTGTGGCCTCTTCCAGAGGGACTCTGGGCCCGAGGGGACACCGGTCGGCCTCACAACAGGTTTGTTGAATGAATGAACAAATGACAGAAGGTGAGGCAGGTGGGTGCCTCCTAACCAGCAACCATGCTTCAAGGCAGGAGAGGACCCGGGTTCAAATCTTGACGTTGCCACTTGCTGCCTGTAACCTTGGGCAAATCACTCTAGCCCCTCCTCCCCAGGCCTCAGTTTCTTCCTCTGTAAGGTAAAGGCGTTGGACTCCGTGGCCTCTGAGACTCCTGCCGGCTCTGAAGCTCTGTTCTTAGCCCTGTGAGCCCCGTGGGCACCGCCCTGGGTGGCACAGTGGCTGCCGCTGGTCAGCTCGCCCTTCCTTTGTGCTGAGGAGGGCTCTTGGCAGAAAAGCCAGGAGGTAAGTGGGGGCCCCTAGAGCCTGCGCCCCATCCTGCCCAGATGGACAATCCACCCTGGCTGGTTCTGTAGAGCTAGAGCTCAGCAACCAGCATTTATTATGCACCTACTGTGTGCTGGGAACTGGGCTAAGTGCTGGACATACAAAGAAAGGCGAAAGACAGTCTCTCTGCCCAAGGGGTGCCCACTCTGACGGGGGACAGCCTGCCGATCACTAGATACACGCAAGACACAGACACAACGGGGGGAAGGGACTACTAGCCGGGGGAGAGGGGGAGGGGACAGGCCTACCCCGGAAGCAGGAATGGGATCTGAGACTTGAAGGAAGGCAGGAGGCTGAGAGCACATCAGCCATGTGGCACCGCTAGAGCAAAGGCTCGGAGTCAGGACACAGTGGCAAAGATCTTGCTGTGTGCTTTCTATGGGACCAGGGGAGGGGCATCAGGCACTCACGAGTGTCCCGTGGGAGAGATGAAGTAGAGGCAGCAATGGACCCGCGTGTCCGGAATCCGCTTCTTTCTCGCGATGTTCACTTCCTCCTTCAGGAATTTCTCGTACTGTTCATTGATGTACTTCTCGATGGGCTCCCAGCTGAGGAGGACAGACACGGGTAGACTGAGGTGAGCCAGCTGCCCTCCACAGCCTGGGAGGGGGCAGGACATGGGACCTGACAGACCTCGTGGGATCACGGACGCCCGGGTCAGAAGGGACCTCCAGAATCCCCCCAGGGAGGGGGATCTCACTACCACCCCACCTAGCCCGTTCCTTTTCGGCCCGCTCTCATCACGAGGGTCTGTTTGGCCCCCTCGAGCCTGAGCTCATCTCTCAGCCGCTCTCAGCTCCCGGGGGGCCAAGCAGAGCCCAACCAACCCCCTGAAGATGGTGACCCCACCACACCCCACCCTGTGTCTGCTGTTCCCCAGGTTCAACCAGCCCTCATGCAGCATGCTGCTCAGTCCAGAAGCATTTACGGAGCCCCTTCTGTGTACTGGGTTATCCGGGGATCCGCCCCTCCACAGCGTGGATTCTGGACTTCCCCAGTGGATCTGCCATCCTTGGCTTCACCATCTGAATCCCTGGTGCCCCAACACCCAGCTCTGCTCCTCACGAGCGGTGTGACCCAGGACAAGCGACGGCCTCTCCGGGCCTCAGTCTCCCCATGTGCCAAACGCGGGCGGGCTAGAGGGCCCCTTGGGTCCCCTGCCGCTGTAGACCTAGGACTCAGCCCGGCCCAGGCCGGAGGGAGCTGCGGCAACCCGGACGGGGGGAGGGATCCACGCACGTACCAGTTTTCATTGTTGATCTGGTCTCCAAAGCCTGGGGTGTCGATGACCGTCAGCTTCATCTTGACTCCGCCTTCTTCTATCACTGGGATGACAGACAGGACGAGGGTGACGCCTGCTCCACGCCGACCCCCCACCCTCTGCATCCAATCTGAAGGACCGCGAACCTCCGGCCGGGAGCGGCGCCTTCAAGGCCGCCCAGCAGCCCGGCTCCCCGCCGCTGCGCCGCCATCTTGTCTGACCCCCCTCCCTTCCCAAAGGTCCCCCTCTAAACCTTTGCTCATGCGGCTCCCCTGCCTGGAGTGCCATCCACTCCTCCCTGCCTCTCCAAATCCTAGCCACCCCCGCCTTCCAGGCTACAACGATCTCCTTCCTTGATGATGAGTAGGCAAGAACAGGCACCCAGCTCCACACCCAACTGTCTCCCTCCTAACAGACGGGCCACGTTCCTGGCAGAGCCATAGACTGGGGGGAAGGGGTGGGAGATGATAAGCGTTTATACGGCACCCCTCTAAACGCGTCCAACAAGTGGTTACCGAGCCTCCACTTGAACACCTCCAGTGACAGGGAGCTCACTACCTCCCAAGGTGGCCCAGTCCATTTCTGGATAGCCCCAAGAGTTAGGAAGCCTTTGTGATGTCCAGTCTAAAGCTGTCTTGCTGCAACTCCCCACCCCAAGCTCCTGGTTCTGCTCCCTGGGCCAAGCACAACTCATCCATGTGTTTACACACAAAGTGAATACAAAGGTAATTCTTGGGGAGGGGGTTCTACTAGCCAGAACAACCAGGCAAGGCTCTGAGAAGGCAGCGACCCCAGCTGGGCTTGGAAGGATGCCCCTGCACAGGTCTGGGCACAGAGGAATGGCTGTCTACCAAAGCACACCTGGGGTGTCGGAATAATATAAACATGAATAATAATAACAGTAGTAACAATAATCAGAGCCGACATTTGGAGGGTGCTTTAAGGTCGGCAAAGTCCTGCCTTCCAACAGCCCTGAGAGGTAGGTGGTATTATCCCCATTTTACAGGGAGGGAAAACCGAGGCTTAAGCAGCAGAAAGAGCCCTGTGTCAGTCATCAGAGGAGCAGGGGCTGAGTCCCAGGACTGCTGGGAGACCTCGGCCAGCCTCCGGGCCCCGGCGGGAGGAGGGAGCCAGTCGCTGGAGTCAGGACTGGACAATGCCTACACGGTCCAATCAGGCCCTGGCTCACAGTCGTCAGCTCTCCGACCCAAGCCATGGTCACCTGAAGCTGAGAGCCGCCAACCCCAAGGGGAGTGAGGTGAGATAGATCCTGGCCTTTCGGCCTCCCGCTGCTGCAGGGAAATACCTCAATATCCTTCCCACTAAAACCAAACTGTCCTGGGGGAAATCGACCCAGCTCTAGCTGAGGCAGGGGCGAGTCTCAAGATTAATTTTGAGGAAGTTAATTATGTCGGTGATGGGTTGCCGCTGGGGACCAACGGGGCCGGGGAGGGGCCGGGGCCTCTCTGGGAATGCCATCCCAAATCTGGGTCTCGCCTGCCATGGACAGCAAGCTGTGCCCAGCAAGGAAGTGTCCAGGGAGGCCAGGAGCTGTCCGTAGCCAAAGCCCGCTCAGAGCCACTTTCTCATCTCCAAAGTGGAACATTCATCTTCATAGCTCCAATGATAATCTTCTCAAGACCCCCTGGCGGGGCTGGAGTGAGGCTGTACCCCAGCAGACCTTACCTACCCCCGCTGGAAGTGACAATGATGTTACAGAGAAGCTGCCTCTGATTGGCCATTGGCCCTGTGCCCCCGCCCCCCAAGGCCCAGGCAGCTTTCAGTGGGCTCCAAGACCCTTGGGAGGGGTGTAGCAGACTGGGAGGAACAGGCTGGAGGGAAGCTCTTCTGATGGCTGAGAGGCAGGGCAGCCATGTGGCTAGAACAGAGGCCTTAGAGTTAGGAAGAACCGGGTTCAAATCCAGCCTCAAGATGCTCCCTGGCTATGACAGGTCACACCTGGCCTTTCTGAGTCCATTCAGCTGGAACGGAGACCCGCTCTCAGACACTCACCGTGCCCAATGGCCTTGATCTCCACCGTCTTGGGGATCTTCTCCTCCCGATTCCAACTTGCCGACTTCCGACTCACTTGGGATTTGAAGAGGGTGTTGATGAGGGTCGACTTGCCCAGCCCACTCTGACCTGGATGGGGAGCGAAGGAAGAGGATGAAGCCCAGGGGCAGGATTTGAACCCAGGGTCCTCTGACCCCAAGTCAATTTGCTTTTAGGACTTTATTTCCAAATAAACAGCCCCCTTCTGGGCCCACCCCCCTCCCAGGAGGTGGGTAGGAGGACACCAACAATTTTTCCAAATGACAGAGATTAAAAGGCCACCCAGGTGCCCCAAAGGTGCAGGGATGCCTGGGTCCCACGGCCTCAGCAGCCCTGGGTCGAGATCCCCTGCAGAAGCCCCAGGTGGCCTGCTCTGAGAGGCCATTGCTTGCCAGCCTCCGCTCTTACCCACAACCATGATGTTGAAGTCAAAGCCCGTCTTCATGGTTTTCTTCCGCATCTGCTCAATGATGGTGTCAATGCCAATGTAGCCCAGGAGGTTGGAGCTGATGCCAAGGGGCTTCATGGGCACCGCCGGCTTGGGCCTGGGCTCAGCCACCAGCTCCGACATGGTCACGTCAGTCCTGTTCTCTGCAAAGCCTGCAGATGAGGCGGGGAGGAGGCCATGGAGCCATGAGGCTGACCAGCCCCAAGCCCACCACAGGAGGAAACTCAAGCCCACCCAAAGCCGCTGCGTCCCTCAAGGACTGTGACCCTCACCTCCAAGAAGTCTGTCCTGATTAGTCTGTCCTACTGAACCCACCTCCCCTCAGTGTGCAACCTACCACTTCTGGGCAGGGTTTGTAAGATACTATACTTTTAATGGTATAGACTTTGCTTGGAGGGCCCTTAGAACAGACAAGGTCAGGGCTGGGAGGGGCCTCAGAACAGGGAAGGTCAGGGCTAGGAGGGAGCTTAGAACATGGAATGTCAGAGCTGGGAAGGGCCTTAGAGAGTGTGGAATGTTAGAAAATACTATTGAAGAGGCCAAGAAGAATGACTGTCTCTTTTGGCCACATTCCCAACCCCAGTGAGAGGGGGAAGGAGCCTCAGTTTCTTTCTGATGAGGGGGTTCTGCCTGCTCTGTGACTGAGCCTGGCCTTCCTCAGGCACGGAGACAAAGGCTTGGCTGGACCTCCTGGGGCTCCCTCACTTCAGGAAGAGGTCTCTCCCCCCCCCCCTCCCCCCCAGCTCCAGACTGCCTCCTCTCCCATTGGCCAAGGACAACCTCCACTTGGTCCCCTCCCTCCTTCTTCCATACCCTGTGATGGAAAGACAAAGGGACTGACAACTGGTCTCTGGGGGCACACGAAGCACCCCCAGCCAGCTTCATTCACAACTTAGCAGAAACTGCAGAACGGTCCATCCTGAGCAGAAGATCCCCCCAGCCTCCTCTCCCAGGTCGCACAATCAGCAATAAATGTAGCTGGGGTATGAACTGAGATCTTTGGACTCAGCCACTAGAACAGACGGGTATCTCGGTACTGCCATCTCGCCTCCTGACCCACTTGGGCCTTAGGCCTTTGTAAACTGTCTTCTGTCCTGAGGCCTCTTCCGAACAGGCTTCTGCCAAGGTCATGATTTGATCTCTTTCTGTCCTCAAACTACCATGTGACCTTGGGGACCACCCCCTCCTGGATCCTGTCCCCTCCCTTGGCTTCCATACCTCTTCCTCTCCTGGCTCTCCTATCTCTGGCCCCTCTTCCACACATCCCTTAAAGGTGGGTGCCCTACAGGTCTCTGTCCTTGGGTACCTCCTCTCCCCCCCCTTGGTGATCTCATCGACTCCTGTAGTTTCAGTTATCACCTCTCAGGCAGACGACTCTGGGGCCTGGCTCAGCCCCCACCTCTGTCCAGAGCTCCAGGACAGGCAGCTGACTGCCCACTGAATGACCCACCCACCCCTCAGACCCTCTGCGTCCACGATGGCGCTCACCCTTTCTCCCTCCCCTACAACGTGTCTCTCCTCCAGGCCTCCCCGTATCTGTGAATGGCACCCCCATCTCTCTAGCTCCCCAGGCTCCTGACCTCAGAGGTGGAGGACCCAAGTTCGAACATGGCCTCTGTAACCATGCTGCCAGCTGCCAAACCTGGAGACTCCTTCTCACCCCATTTCCTCCTCCTAATTCCTGCTGTAATTCTTTTTCTTCAGCTAAGCCAATAAACAGGTATCCCATAAGTGCCTCTGCTATGCTGGGAGCTGGGATATTATAAAGGTAAAGAATGGAATAGCCCCTACTTGTAAGAAACGTATGATCTACAGTCCTCATCTCACCTAGACCAGCCTAGTTTAAGCACCCCTGCCTGGCCTCCCCACCTCCCTGCCTCCAGCCTCTCTCCTCTGTCTAACCACTCTCATTTACTCAAAAGCTTTCAGGAGCTCCCCACTGTCTACCCCCAAAAGCAAACTCTTGATTCTGGCATTCAAGGCCCTTTCCCGCTTTGCCTCCAGCCTGTCTTTCCAGATTGATGCCCCATTCCTCCCCATCATACAGTCTACCTTCTGGCCCGACCAGACAGCTTCCATCCCTGCTCTGTCATCCCCTTCCCACCCTGCTCCCATTGGCTCAGACCTTTCCCCATGGCTGGAACAGGCTCCTCCAGAAGACCCTGGCTTTCTTGGAGACTCAGCTCAGGGGCTGCCCCTTCCCCAAGAGAAAAGTGGCCTCTCTCCCCTCAGATCCCCCACAGGCCTCTTCATCCCTGTCACTCTCCCCTGTGTCCGGGCCATCTGATGGAAGGGGCTCTATCAGAGTTACTTCTGTGTCTCCAGGCCTGGCATGCAAGAGGGAGTTAACAACTACTTGTGGAGTGAATATGGGGCCATGACACCCAGAGTCTGAGGGAGCAAGAGCTCTGCTGGCCTAGAAGGCTGGAGACTCAGCTTCTACCACTCACTGGGCTGATCTAAGGCAGGCCCTGTCTGTCCTCCAGAGGCCTTGCTTTCTATATGAGATAGTGTCTGATGCCCCTCCCAGCCCTGATATCCCCTGCCCCAAGCTCCCTCCCATGACATTCCATGTTCTGAGCTCCCTCCCAGCTCTGACCTTCTATGTTCTCAGGCCCCTCCCAGCTCTGACATCCCCTGTCCTAAGCTCCCTCCCAGCTTTGATTTCCATGTTCTACACACCTCCTCTTCCCCAGCCCAGGGCTGGGAAGTGAAGGCTGGTGAGTCTGATGACCGATCTTGGCATTCCCTGCCCCTGGCCTGGGTACCCCCCTTTTCTGGCTGTGGCCTGCCTCTTGGTGGAAAATTGCTCTCTCTGTCACCATGAGTGTGTGATGACCTGGTGGGCCACTCCCCTGAGCGCTGGGTGGCTGCTCCCAGGTTCCCAACAAGCCAGTGCCCGCCAAGAGCACCGGGGAGCAGCAGAGGCCAAGTGGAGATTGCCACCAGCCAAGGCAATGGCCTTCCTCCCTTTGACAGGACAGCTAGCCATCTAGATCATTTTAAGGTCTGCAACGTACAACCTCATTTAACTATTATGAGCCCCATTCCACAGATGAGAAAACTGAGGCAGGCAGGCGTGAAGTGAGGTGCCCAGGGTCCCACAGCTGGATTTGAACTCAGTCCTCCTGACTCCACGCCTGCACCCTAGCCACTGGGCCGGGAGCAGCGAACGAGCGAATTCACTGCAAACACATCAGTGTTCTTCCCACCTCCCTTGGTGCCTCGCCTGTCTCCTGTAACACCTTGCTCTTCTCTGCCTTCCCAGACCCTCCATTCTATAAGGTCCATCCCGCCCTGAAAGCCTCCCATGACAGAATTACAATCCCAAAACAGGAAGGGCTCCTTGGAGCACAGGTGGACAGCTGGGAGGGGGCTCTGAGGCCTGGGAGAGGCCCAGAGAGGGGACACCACTTGCCCAAAGCCGCCCAGCAAGTAAGTGCCAGACAGCCAGGACTAGAACACAGGGCCCCAGCCCAACGTCTCAGCTCCACAGCACCCCCTTCCCAACGCCTGGTCGCCCAGCCTTTGCCGCGATGCTGACATCCCCGCCTCCCAGGCCGCTCGTTCCACTGTGGACAGACCGAGCCGGGCGGCTCTCAGCCTCTCTTCCCTGGTCCTGGTCTGCTGCCCCTCTCACGCTGGCCTCCTCCCCATTTGGGGCTGGGTGAAGGATGGATTGGGAACGTTCACTGCCCTTCGTCAGAGGGGACGCCCTGCCTCCCTATGGATCCTGAGGCCATTTGGGCACAGGGATGAACACTGGAATGACCGAGGGAGGTGCCTCCCGAGCCTGGAGAGGACTGCCCGGGCCCACTGTGTGCTGGCCTGGCTTCAGCCTGACACCCCTCAGGCTCTGCTCTGGGTCATACTCCCAGAGAGCATCAGCTGCCCTCAGGGAAGGCCTTCAAGGTCGCCATTTTGCAGATGAGCAGACTGAGGCCCAGCTGGGGAAGGGGACTGCCCAGCGTCCCCTGGGTAGTGAGTGTCCCAGCCAGCCTGCTGACTCCCGTGGGGCGCTCACTCCTGGTGAGCCCAGCACAAGCTAGTGGCTTCTGGAGTGACTGGGTGATCTCATCCAACCCACTTGCTTTACAGATGGGAAGACTGAGGCCCATGGTACAGAAGGGACTTGCACATGGCCAGTGTAGCCCATGCAGGATTTGAACCCAGGCCCCCCAGGGCTCTTTCCACTGCCCTTTGCTGCATTTCCTCCCCCGCATGTACACAGTAGTGTTCATGGAGCCAGATCCCTCGGCTCTGGGCTTTGGAGGGGGATCGAGCCGCCCCTGAGAAGCAGCTTCTTCCTGCCTCACTCCCACCCCTCACCCCTGCCCAGACTGCCCAAAGGCAAATGAAGCTGAGAATCTGGGAGCTGCTCAGGAAAACGGGCTTGTCTTTGTCTAGTTCTGTCTCCTCCACGGGAGAGGGCTGCTCACAGGCTCACCTGCCCCATCTCTGGGCCTCTGGTCTTGGCTCGTGTCCCTCCAGGCCCCGGGAAGCCCCCCACCCCCTTTTGTTCTCCCCTCTTCTTCCTGCCTGTCACCTGGCTCCCTCCTCCCCCTTCCCCTTCCCCATGGAGGCTGGGGGCTGGCCTCTACAGGCAGAGATCCCCTCCCCCCTCTCTGGGGGCAAGCTGGGCTTCACCTCCCACCCTCCCTCTCCTCTTGGGGCTAGGGGGACACGCAGGTCAGTCCCCTTGCAGGCCTTCTGCTGCCCAGCTCCCACATCCTGGAGTCCACCCCAGCCCGGGATCTCCATATAGAAAGGAACTGTCACCTCCTACCCCTCTCCCCTCCCAGGGAGGCCATTCCAGGTACCTTCCCCACTGGCCACGTGAGTGTGGAAGCCTGTGGGGCTCTGGGCCAGGGGTTTGGGGCTGGGTAGCCCTCTGCACCGTGGGGTGTGAGTGTGTGATGTGTGTGTGTGTGTGTGTGTGTAGCAGCTGTGGGATCATCTGTGTGTGTCCTGTGTGTGAGCATGTCCTTGAGCTGTGCCTGGTATGAACACATCCATGTCAGGGTGGACCAGTGTCACTGTGGGCTCCTGTGGCAGCCTATGTGTGTATGTATGAGTGTGTGTGTGAGTGTGAGCTCTGGCGCCCGGAGTCATCAAGCCCGTCTTTACATGTAGGTGCCTGAGGGGTGGGGGTGAGGAGGGATGAGAATGAAAGGGGAAGGGTCCCTCTCCCTTCTTCCCCTACCCCTCTCATTTGTCTCTTCATGTGTGCATCTTGCTATGTCAGTGTGCGTGTGTGTGTGTGTGTGTGTGTGTGTGTGTGTGTCTGCGCCCAGCACATCCACACAGCAGCCCTCCCACCGTCTCTGGGGGCAGGGCCGGGCGGTGGCTGCTGTGGCCGCAGCGTGGCCTTGGTGGTGGCAGGCAGACCCCCGCCCTGTTCCTTCCCCTCCTGGCCCAGTTCCACCTCGCCCGGCCCCTACCTTTGGACATGAATCCTTCTTTGTCTTTGGAGATGCTCTCGGGGTGGGGGGGCCGGGCGCTGGGTGCGCAGGGCTGGTGGCTCTGGGTCCCCACTCAGACAAGGGGGGGGGGCCCAGCCCTGGCCCTGGCCTCCCTCCCTCCTCTGCTCGCCTCCCCTCTTGGCCCGGAGCAGCCAGGAGCAGATGGGAAGAGAGGGAGGCGGGCAGGCAGAGAAGGAAAGAGGGAAGGATGCTGCCGCCGCCGCCGTCACTATTGGGATCTGCCACCCGCACCACGTGACGCGCATGTTAACCATCCCCGTGAATCCTCCCCCCTCCTCCCCGTGCCCATGCCCATCCCCCCCATGGGGAACCCCGCCCCCTTTCCCCCTCTGCCCTGGGAAAGGGGGAGCTGGGACAAGGGGAGGCAGGTGCCCCCCAGCTTCTGCTCCCAACTCACCCATCCCTGGGGAGAAGAGGCATTTCGGGGGGGGGTCCGAGCCCCGGGGGCCCCAGTGCCCCTCTGACAGCAGCTGGGAGACCCTCCCAAGGCACCTTCTCTCAGAACAAGCAACAATAGGACGCCGAACAATCGAAATCTCTACTGTTACTATTAGTAATTGTTAACGAGCACCAAGTCCACTGACCTCTCTGAGCCTCACCTTCCACATCTGTAAAATGGGACCACGGGTCTGTTCCCTACCTGCCTCACAAAGCTGTACACTAAGAGGCCATCGTTATTAAATTTCAGCCTCAAAATGGGGGGCGCTCAGCTCCTTGCCAACTCTGCCTTAAGGCATCCCAATTCCATCACTTTAGAGAAAACTCCAGAAGAGACTTGCCCACGATCAGGCCGGTGACCAGTGGCAAAGCAGGGATTCAAAACCAGGGCCCTTCCAGCCTCCCAGGAGGGGGATCAGTGCCTGGGAAGGAGGGGACATGCTTGCACATGTGTGTTCATGCACCAGGGGCCGCCCTCCTTAGGAACCAGCCCTGGATGGAGGGAAGGGGCAGAGGGAGCAAAAGAGAAATCAGGCAGGGAAGTCCCAGTAACTCACAAGGCCTTGGCCAAGTCGGAGAGTGTCAGAGCTGAAAGACAACCCAGAAACCAGCTCGTCCGAGCCCCTCATCTTACAGCCAGGGAAACTGAGGCCAAGCAAGGGGAAGGGACTTGCCCTCAGGTCACAGTGTGTTCAGTACCAGAGCCAGGAAGCCTTCCCCTGGCAGGCCTCAGTCTGCTCATCTGTCAAATAGGGCCAAGGGTCTCAGCACTGCCTCCCCCCAAGTTCTCTGTGAGGCTCAGATGGACATACCTGGGCTTGGCAGGAGGATTCTTCATCTGCAAAATGAGGGGCCCAAAGTCCCTTCTAGCCCTGCCCTGCCCTGCCCTGCAGAGGGCCCAGAGGCCAGAGCTTGTGCTGAGGCTCTGGAATGAACTTGTGGTATGGCCTGAGGCAGCTCCTTCCACAATATCCTGTCCCCTGTGTCTGGGACAGGCTCTGGGCATGAAGGCAGGGGAGCAGAGAGGCTTAGCAAGGCCCACCCTCTGGAGCAATCCGAGCCTCTGAGGGCCTGGGCATCACCTCCAAGGTCAGAAGCCGGCCCCAAGACCACCCAGGTTTCCCTGACTCCCCTTCTCCCGGGATACGGCTTCCAAAGTTAAGGAGGCTTGTGGAGAAGGCCCTAAGGAACACAGGAGTGGAGTCAGAGCTCCACCTGAGTGACCTCAACAATCCCCTAAGTCCGGCAGCCATCTCATCTCCCCAGTACGGGGCTGCACTCTGCAGCCTCAAAGGCAGGAGGCCACATGGCCCTGGCCTGAATAGCTCCAAGGACAGGGAGCTCACTTCCTCACAGGCATTCTAACTAGGACCCCCGAGGTCGGTCCTAAACTTACCTCGTCTGAACTTCCAAGAGAATCCTTCCATCTTCACAGGCCAGTTAGATCTCAGTGGTCGAAACTCTGAAAAATCAGATCATAGAAAGGCTCAACAGGAGCCAGCCTCGGAGGGACTCAGCTGTGCCTTTTCACAAAGTGGATCCTTTCCTGCAACAGCAATGGTTGTGAAGTCAGATGGTTACCTCCTGGGTTTGTGTGAAGCAGGGCCCTAGCCCCAGGTACCCCAGTCCCGGCCCCCCAGGGCTGTCGAACCCCCCTTCCCTACCTCTTTGCAGGCTTCTTGCACCTGCTTCACCTCCATGCCCTCCAGCCTTCAGGGACTCCGCCCTCCTGGCTGGGCATCAGACAAGACCTTCATCTCCAGCCTCGGGACATTTGCACTGGCCATCCTCCAGGCCTGGAAGTCTTTCCCTCTTCACTTGCTCTAGTGTTTCCAATCCCAGGGACAATCTCACCTTCCGCACAAAGGGCCTTCCCTCTGTGCATTATCCCCAATCGACCGGGCTAGCTTGTTTACACGCTGTCTCCCCCTGCACCGGGGGCTCCTGGGGGGCGGTCACTGCCTTTCACGTCTCTTAGCACACAGTAGGCACTCGATGCACACAGTAGGTGCTCAATAACTGCTTAGTGACTTGCCTTGGCTGGGGAGGGGAGGGTGGAAATGCTCACTTCGCCCCTCCTTCCTCCCACCAGCCCTTTCTCTCTAACTTTGAGGGAGAGAGGTGAGCCACCCTCTAGAGATACCAGGGGTCTTCTACCGTCTGTGTGTCTTGGACCCTTCTCAGCAAGCTCTTTTTAGGGCATCGCAGGAAATGCTACATTTCAGTTCGAGGCGGGGGCCATAAAGATGTCATGGCCCCTGGAGCTAAGCTCCTCTGAACCCCGCTCTCTCTCTGGGTCTGGCCCCCGAGCCTCTGGGATTCTCCCCAGCCTCGGACACTTATGTTCCCAAGCCAGCCCAACCCCAAACTGCCGGACTCTCATTTATTTACCTTTGTGAGCCACCGCCAGGTCCAGGGCATCCAGGTCAGCGGCTCTTTTGGCAGCCAAGGCCTGGGGGGCAGCTGCAGCTTCTTCCTCCTCTGACTCTGGGGTGCCTGGCTCTGAGGTGTGGTCTGGCGTGCCTAGGACAGAGCCTATATCTGCCACGATCGGGACGACAGCCGGCACGGGGGGCTCAAAGGCCTCCCCTGGGGTGGCTGGGGATGTGCCGCTCTCTGCGAGGCGGGCGACCGTAGCTCTGTGTGGGGTGGTTTTCTGGGGTGTGACCAAGACCATGGCTGTGCATGGCTGGGCTCGTCTGGACACAGGCAGACCCATGGTTGTGCCTGGCAAGGCTGGGGACGCGTCTATGCCTGGCACAGTAAAGAAGACCTTGGTGTCTTTGGAGGCCAGGCTCCTGGTTGTGTGGGACGAGGCTAGGACCATCGCAGTACACGGCGCAGCCCGGTCTGCTGGGGCTGCCAGGCTGGCACTGGTGCTGGTGCTTTTGTCTAGCATGAGGATGGTGCTGGCTGGGTCTGCTTGGGCCGGGCCTGGGAGTGGCCCTGGTGGAGACAGAACCCTGCCTGGCTCTGCGGCGGCCAGCACTGTGGTGCCGCTGGACAGAGGCAAGACCAGGGCTGTGAAAGTGGAGACTGGTGAGCCTTTCCCTGTGCCTGAGGTGGCCACGACCCTGGCTGCGTGCACATGCGGGACGTGCAGGGCAAGGTCTGTGGCTGGGTTGGGGGCTGGCACTGGCCTGGGTCGGTGCCCCATAGTGCCCTGTTTCTCCAGGTTGGTGACTTGGAAGAATGCTACACTCTTCCTTGACGAGGCCCTGTCCTCTTCAGCCCTGGCTGTGGGTAGGGTAGCTGGCCCGTGGCTGCGGACACACCTGCAGTGGCTGCTTCGGATTCCGTTGGGCCTGGGCCTACACCTGACCTGGATGAGCCTGTGACTATCTCTGGCCTGGCCGGATCCATGGTGGTACCTAATGTGCTGGGGCTGGATCGGCGGTCGTGCCTGGGGTGGCAACTGGGTTTTCAGCCCTCTCTGACCTGGCCAATGTGATCCTTCCCGACTTGAGCAGCCCCCGGACCGGGATGCCCCTTCCAGACGGCAGCCGGAGCCTGGGGATGCCCACGTGCTGGGTCCCCACCCTCCCTGGGGAGCCTGGGCTGGGTGTCCGGGAAGTATATCGGAATGGGAGCCCTATGCTGGGCGGGGCTGATGGGCTCTGAGCTGAGCGTGGCTGGAAAGAAAGGGCCAGATGCGAGGTCAGCAGGGGCTTCTCCAAAACGGAGGCCCCTGGGGGCCCAATGGGATTGGGGTTTCCAGGACTCGCGGAACGTGCCCTGATGATGGGCAACAGAGATGCAGGGGGTGGGTCCAGGATGGGAGACTCCCCTTTTGCCTGGGCAACCCCTTTCCTATCTCTAACAGTTGCCTCCTGCCGAGGGGAAGATCCCGGGACAGAGGCAGCCTCCTGGTGGCTGTGGTGGTGGAGGGTAAAGGAGAGAGAGCTGAGCTTCCTGGGCACAGGGCTGCCAGTAGGGCGAAGGATGGCCCCCCTGGCAGTGGCCGGATCCCTGGGGGTCAAGGACCAGGGGCCTAACTCTGGGCCCAGACTGGTTCAGGGGGAGAGGAATGTGACTGGAGATGCAGCCAAGGCTCAAGGTCTTCTTGGCCCCGGGGCTGAGGGGAGGTGAGACCACAGGGATCCCCGAGGGACGGCTGGGGTGAGGAGGGGCCTCGCCTGGCTGCTGGTCCCCAGGAGGGGAAGGAGGTCGGCCTCGGTCCATCCCGGCTCCTCAAGCTTCTCCCTGAGGAAAAGGGGGTTGTGGCCATGACCAGGGAGTCTGCCCAGCCTGCCCTGGCTCCCCTCTTGTCTTCCTGCCCATGCCTGTGGCTGCTGCAGAGAAGGCCAAGCTTGAGGGATGTGAACTGAGTGGACATTCCAGTTCTGTTCCAGGCTGCCTCCACCCCCCAGCCCCGCCTTCTCAGGGTCACAGAATCACAGGAGTGCAGATCTAGGTCCACCTAGCCAAACCCCTCATTTTACAGATGGGGAAACTGAGGCACAGAGTGGAAGCGTGATTTGCCCAAAGTCAACCTTGCTCCTGATTGCATTCTTCATTCCAGACCTCCAACCTCTCACCTGTCTACTCACCACCACATACACATTCCTACTGATCTTCATTTTAGAATGAGAAGGGAGAGAAGGAACTACGGAGTTTGTCTTGACAGCCACAGGCCTAGACTTATCTGCCCCCTCCCCAGATGAGCCAAAGAAAACAACCAGAGCTGCCCTGCAAGGGAGTGAGCAGCCCATCGCTGAAAGTATTCAAGTAGAAGGTGGATGGGCAGCTGTCAGGGAGGTGTGCCCCTCTGGCACTCACACC